AAGCAGGCTTCCCGCTGAGCAGGGAGCCTGATGTGGGGCTTGATTCCAGGACCCCAGGATCATGACCTGAGCCGAAGGTAGACACTTAACGACTGAGCCACCCAGGTGCCCCTCCCACCTGACCATCTTTTATTATTGTCCCCCTGCATCACTCTCCATGAGTACTGACCTCATGGCCAGGTACTGTCCCACCTCAGGGCCTTTGCACATGCAGTCTAATTGCCTTTAATGCTCTTGCCCAACAGGTATGCATGCTTTCTTTTTTACTTCCTTGACTCTCAATATCACCATCTCAGAGAGGCCTTTCTTAATCAACTTAACCTTCCTCTTCACCTTTCCTGCTTTTTTCCCCTCCTTAGCACTTATAGTTATGTAACATGCCATAAATTTTACTTATCTTGTTTATTGTCTTTTCTTCCAAACTACGATATAAGTACCGTGAGGATGGGGATACTTATCTGTTTTGTTCACTACTATAGTTCAGAGCCTAGGACAGGGCTAGTGCACAGTATAACGCATTCCCTAAACAATTGTTGAGTGACTAATTGAAAGAACGAACAAAGCATAGCCTCTCCCCGATAATAGCTATGGAACTCCCGAACTGAAGTGGGTCAATTCACGAAGTATCTAGAAGCAGCACACGAAGAGAGAACTACTGGAACAATCGAGCTTTGAAGCATCTGGAGGGAACATAGCCTCTTATTGAGCTTGATTTTAAAGGAGACAAGGAAAAGGATGTGGTGGAGAAAGGGGAATAGAATTCTAGGTGATGGAAATTTCAGATTTCTCAGGAAAAGTCAGAATCCAAAATTCATTTATTCAACTGGGAATACAGCAATGAACAAGTCAGAAGAAAAGTCCTTGCACTCAAGGTACTTACATTCTAGTGGTCATAATGTCAGGCAGTATGATCTTGGAGAAAAATATCTGCTTATTGGAATGGTGAGTTAGGAAGGGCTTATATTTCCAGAGGGCTGAGAGGTCTAGATCAGTGTGGCTTTCATCTGGCAGCCTGTAGGAAGCTACTTTAGATTCTTGATCCGGAAGAACCCTGAGAATGTCAGTTATGCGAGATTTCTGCAGCCACAGGAAGGATGGATTCTGATAGGGAAGGGCATTGGAAAGGGTGGGAGGTCCGAGAAAGGGCTGTTGTACAGAGGGGGGTGGATATCACCATAGAAGGGGGTGGGTCAAAGGCACCTGGAATGAACTGAGAAATTGAGAAAGGATCTTAAAGCCCCGGAGTGTGAGAATAATCTAAATGTGTGTCACCAAGAACAACTACCTGATGGAAGGGAAGGAAGATAGCAGAGATGGTGCAGGGACTTTGATGCTGGGATTTGGGACCAGATTAGGCCAGATTAGGATCAGTCCCTAACTTCAGTTACTGTCCCATCACTGGGCTTTGTGAAGGCCCACAGGAAGGACCACAGTACTCTTGCTGTTTACTCTCCAGTGCTTGTGTGTGTTTGCTCTTCTCTATGTGACAAGCCAAGCTTAGTGCGGATGTAACCCATCAAACTGGAAATGGCCTGAAACTAGTGAGTCACACAGGATCTGCAGAGTAAAACTTTGGTTGTTTTTGCCTGAAACCTACCACATCCTCCAACACTCCAAATCTTTTTATTAATGAAGTAAAATTTTAAGGTATTACATCTTTGGTATCATGAAATGAGATGGCTGGGATTTCTCTGGCAGAATTTTGATCTTCACTTTAATAGGATGCTAGCTATAGATGTCAGGATGACTGTTTGTGTAAGAATCAAAAGATCATTTTTTCTTTTTTGTTCTTTTCCTCTGACATAGTTAATTGGCTTGAAATCAATCTGTTTTCTCAAAGCTTAGGTTTCCTTCAGTTTTGTCTCTCAGGTGAAGAGCTGAACTTTCTACCTGACTCTCACTTTAAATAGAAACATTTTCTCACTTGTCATATGAAAGGGAAAAAACGGGAGGGAAGTGGTAGTCTTAATTCTCCAGTATAGTGAGACAATTCAAAAGAAAACAAACACAACACTTTGCTATTAGATATTTTGATAAAAAGTGTTTCTTGAAATTGTTTTTTGAAATGCCGTTTCACATTGTGTGATAGAAACCGAATTTCTGTTATCCACAAGGCAAATGAAGGGCTCTCAGGGAAGTGGGGGAGGGACAGTCACTGTGAATTTTCCATAACAGAATTTGACTGTAGCAGTCATGGCATCTGAAAGATCTCTGGGGACCAGAGAAGAGGGGGCAGTGACCTAAGTGGTTCCCTTTTTATAAGCACATCCCAGCTAAGTCCCCCATGTACCCCCACATCTAGTGGTATGGCTAGTACCACCTCCTAAGAAGAGTCTGGCTTCCTGCATGTATAGGGCTTTTGAAAACTACCTGCCTTAAGCCATAGAAAACATGGTAGTATTTTAATTACTCCTCCCTGGTAATCTAGCCAGTTACATGAAAAACAAACTTAGCCATTATTATTATTATTATTATTTTATTTTTTTGGTAATAAAGCTTTTAAAAATCATGTATGGAAAATTCCTAAAGTTTCTCTCCCATCTAAGTTCTTTTTCTTATCATATCTGTAATAAGAATATGAAAGTCTTCAATATATTCTGATAATATGGATGTCATCGCAAAAGTTGGGCAAATGTGGAAAAGTATATTTCCAACTGTTCAGGAGTAATAATGTTAGCAAATAATCTCATTAGGAAATGGAAGAGACAGAGTCATGTCAGGCTATTTCCCACCTCAGGGCTTTTGCAGCTGCTGTTCCCTCTTTCTGGAATGTTCTTGCTCATTCTCATAGCTGGTGTTTTCTCATCATCCAGGTCTCAGTCAAATGTCACCTTCTCGGAGAGGCTTTCCTGACCCTCAGTTGAATCCTTCACCCCAACTCTGCTGCATATCCCATTCCTTGGTTCTAATTTCCATTAAACTGTATAACATCCCTTAGTTTTAATTTCTTCTTAGTATGTATCATGACCTGGATTCACTGATTTATGACTTCTGTTCTGGCTTATTTATCTTCCCAGTCAGATCGTGAACTCCAAAGAGCAGGTATCTTGTTGGTCTTTGTCACTACTAAGATTAGTGTCCAAATACATGTGGAAGGAAAATGAGGTTGCAAAATTGTCATATTTATGAAAACAAAATAATGATTTTTTTTAACAGCTTGAGGGAGTAAAGCATTCAAAATTCAATTAAAATAGAAACTGCTGCAATGTGCTGCCCTTGGGTATTAGATTTGTAATTGTTCATCCAAAGTGCTGCTTGTTATGAGCTGTGTTTGTCAACAGCATCACTTTGGGAACTGAGGCAGGTAGTACCTAGGGTGATTCTTTTCCACATTCCAGAGACCTGGCATCAAACAGGGAACTTCTGGCATACCAGTTATATCAGGATATTTTGGCTTCAAAGTATTAAAATCCAGACTCTAACTGGGTCAAAGCATAAGTCTCATGGGAAGATTGGAGCAAGGGTTATTCTTTTAGCAGTTCAAAATGGTATCAAATACTCAAGTTCTGTCCATTTCTCTGTTCTGCCATCACTGAATGTCATCCAGGCAGGGCAATGTCTGAGGAAGACGAGAATGCTGCCTTTCTTTTCCTAGACTTGCTCCACCAGACTTCCTCCAGGGTCTCATGGGCCATTTTTGGGTACATATCCATTGTTGAACTAATCATTGGTGAGGGAATGAGATTGTGCACAACAATAAGGCCTGACCCTGAGCCAGGGGCTGGTGGGGGCGGGGCACGGGTGGTGGTGGTGGAGTGTATCCTTTTCCCATGCGGTATGTGGACTGCTTGGGGAGTGGCAGTCATCTGAAGAAAATTGAGGTTCTTTTGGGTGGGGAGAAGGAGGGGAAGTGCTGTATATTTCATCTATTGTTCCTATGTTTGGAAGCAGTAACTAATGGTGTTGCTAAAACTTTTCTCCTAAGTTTTGTACTGTTTGGTCTGATGAGTAAAGACTGGTTCAAGATTCTAGAGGTTGATGAGCAGACTGGAGACCCATACAGTTACAGTCCTTTGGATTAAGTCCAAGCTTCTACTCAAGAGCTTGCAGAAGAGCTCCTGTTTCAGCATGTGGTGGGGGCTACTGCTGTTCAAGAGGGAGACCCAGAGGGGGAGAGTCAGTCCGGCTCCTCTTTCAGCTGCTTTAATCCCTGTCTTTAGGGAAGTGCAATCTATTCTGTAGAGCCCATCTCATTCCATGTGTTTCTTTATTGCTTTATCCTATCCTTCTTACCCAAAGCCTAAGAAAAAAGTTTAGGGATAGTTTGGGAAGTTGAGAGAGGAAGAGAGTGAGTTGTCAGAATGGAGGGCATGGGGCAGCTTTTCATTTCTTGTTCATTTCTGCTATATGCTATGTTTGTAATGATCAAAGTAACTTGTGCCTTTTATATAATTTTCTGCTTGGAGCTTTATTATGTTCTACAACAGGTTGAGACTAAGAATAGATAAGATAATGTGAATGTTGAAATGTTCAAAACTCCACAGCCTATACACCATTACCAATTACAACATATAAGTGTGGTTGAAATGCAAGGGGTGTGTCAAGCCAGAAAATGGCATGGAATGTTGGGACTTTGATGTTTGATGATATATTCTGAATATATCAGAATCTTTTTAAATCTTAAACATTTTGTGGTAGATTTGAAAAATGAGGGCAATCCTTTTTTGTTGTTGCTTGTACCCTCATAGACCGGTATGACCTATTAAACTGCCAATTTGGGATTCTTCCCTGTCCTCATTCCTTATCTGGTCATTGACCTAATTCTGTCCATTCTCCTTACCACAGGCACTAACTCAGTCTTGGCCCTTATCACAGGACAGACAAATGCTTTTGTTCTTGAATTATTTCCCTATTACTTTGCAAGTGTTGTATGGATAAAGATGAACTTTTACCTATCTTTGATGTCTTCAGATAGCTATCACAAGACCTTATGGAAAGTGGAGGAAAATCAATGTTTGTTGATTTCTTGTTGACGTTTTCTTTTCTGCTTTTGGTTTTAGAGTCTGAACTGAAGAATTTTTGTTGCAGAAATATACTGATCATCCTTGGCTTCTCTTCTATCATGGCTGTGATTTCTTTGATTGCTGTGGGGCTGACCCAGAACAAAACATTGCCAGAAAATGTTAAGGTAACTCAAATCTGAGGGGTTCTGGCTGGAGTGCGGTGGGGGAGGGGAAAGAGGTTGTGGTAAATCAGAGCATACAGGAGGGGTGGAGGTTCTGGCAGCCCAGGAGCAAGTCAATATCCACTGAATTAGGGAGGTTAAATGGAATGATGCTTATTCTGGAAGAGGAAATGTCTTGAATCAATTAGTGGTAGGAAGATAATTGTCTTTATGCTTGTTCAGCAATAATTATTGTTAATACTTTAACAGAAACAAATACTTTATTCACTACATCCAGATATGTACTGATATCATGTGGTGATATTTTGTGCTGATATTCTGTGATCTAGTACTATCTCTTCTTCTTATTCATTGTTTCACCGTGGATGTGTCACAACACTGCACTCTTTGATCTTCTTAATCATTATTACTATCACAAAAATAATAAAATTTATTAGAGAACATTGTATAAAACTCTTTGAAAGTCAAAGATTGTGGAGAAGACTTGTTCCTCATCTTCAAAATATTAAAGAAAGTGGGGCGCCTGGGTGGCTCAGTCGTTAAGCGTCTACCTTTGGCTTAGCTCATGATGCCTGGGTCCTGGGACCCAGTCCCGCATTGGGCTCCCTGCTCAGCGGGAAGCCTGCTTCCCCTGCTTCCCACTTGCCCTGCTTCCCACTCCCCCTGCTTGTGCTCCCTCTCTTGCTGTGTCTCTCTCTCTCTGTCAAATAAATAAATAAAATCTTAAAAAAATATATTAAAGAAAGCAGCAAAATCCATGGAAAAAAAAAACAGAGCACATACATGTATCAAATATAGTGATTTGGAATGAATTCATGGGTGGACAGATTTCTTGGAAATTTCCACATTTGAAGAGATAGTTAATATCATTAAAAATAATTAGGATCATTAACTCTGCTGTGATTTCTGCTTCCTTTCAAATTCATCAAAGTAAAATTTCAAAGACATGAATATCTTACAAGTAGCTTGTAATATCATTATTTTAATATGTTAATTAAAAAGGATGTGGAAAATTTAGATTTATGTTGTAAGTACACCATTTTAAACTTTCATTGAAATTAAATAAATGTATAAGTAAATAAATCTAAAAGGGCCCAGAATATGCCAATATGTGAATGTTGTACATATTGGCACATATGTACACACAGACGATGCCATATCCAGAAGTTAACTTGACCATGGAGGCTCTGAAATACATAGGCAGAAGTTTATTTTCTTGTATTTGAAGATACTAAACTGTGAGATTGGAAAGATGGATGCATATGCCAGGCTTCTAAAACTTTTGCCACCCACCCAAATCAGTTGCTATATAGCGGAGGCCTGGAGTTACATTGGCATTCCTTTGCGACATGAACTCAACTCAGTGTTGCCGTACACAGCAACCCCTTTGTCAGCTCAGAAGGCTGATATTGTCTCATTGTCAATGGTCTCTTGCCTTTTAATGTTGAGTGATGTTGGCTCTCTTGGCAAAACTTCACTCACAGTTGAAGCCTCGTGACATCTTGGTTCTGCTCTTTGTTTACCAGCTGCTAAAGTCATGATTGCCTTTATTTGACCTTTTTACATGTTCATTATTGCATCATTGCAGAGGGGCACTGCCTAGGAGGCAAAATCCATGACAGACTTGAGCTCTGTGTGCCCCATGAATACTTCTGGTCATGGGTGACCTTCCTGCCTTCACAGTGGTCATCATTGACTCTGTTGTGATTCTGTGTTGTGCTGGCCCCACAAAATGGAACAGGTCTTTAAATAAGAGGTATGAGTATTTGAAGGGTAGACAGTGGCATCTGAAATGAATCTTCATAGCAATATCACTGGTTTATTTTACACAAAGATCATTTTATATATGCAAACTAGTGATTTATTAAGGTCATACACTAATTTTAATAAGATTGCTGGCATATATTGAGGGCAAAAATATTTTAGGAACTTGTCTTTGGTGATGGCTTTAAGCTGTGTATGCTGCCCAATTTAATAGTCACTAACCATATGTAGCTATTTCAACTTAATTAAAATAAAATAAAATAAAACAAAATAAAATAAAATAAAATAAAATAACTTTGTTCCTTAATTGCACTAGCCACATTCCAAGCACTCAATAGCCTCATGCAGCTGGTGGATACTAAACTGGACAATGCAGACACAGAACATTTCCACTGCTGAAGGAAGTTCAATTGGACATTGCTGCTTTAGAGCATACTCTTTGATAATATCTCTGAAATCATTTAAAACCAAGTTTGAGGAATAAGGTATATGATAAAACATTATAAAATCTAAAATAAGGAACAGGAAATGAGACTTTTTCTTGTGTGGTTTATAAACTAATACCAGGATCATCCCAGATATCATGAGCTACTAAAGTGCTTTGAGTAGTTTGTTGGAATAAATTGATTTTCTTTCAAAAATTATGATTTAAGGATAATACTTATTTCAATATTTGTACCTGGTACATTTGTTTTAAAAACATAACATCGAACTTCCAGGGAAGATGGTGGAGTAGGAGGATCCTAAGCTCACCTCATCCCATGGAACAAGATAACACCCACATCCATGTAAATAACCCAGAAAACGATCTGAAGACTGACAGAACAGACTCTTCACAGCTAAATGCAGAGAAGAGGCCATATCAAAGAGGGTAGGGAGGGTGGAGACATATTGGGAAGCTAAATGGACCTGTCTGTAGGAAGGAGGATCAATACAGGCATGGAAAGGGGAGAGGACCAGACTGTCACACCAAGCACCCCATGCACACAGGGATCCTACATGAAACCAGAGGGGCCTAATTTCCCAAGTTCTTATAGTCAGCAGGGATTAATGCCTGGAAATTTGAAAATTAGTGGGCTCAGTTCTGGAAGAGCCAGGAGGGTGAGAGGAAACTGAGTCCCCACCCTTAAAGAGATAGCACCCTTAAACAAACAGCCCTGTGGAGATACAGCATAGAAGCAGCAGTTTGAAAAGCATCTGGGGTGTGCGGGAAGGAGATTTGTTTACTAATCTCAGCATGTGCTTGGAGGGGCAGGGATCATTGGGAGACTTCTCTAAAAACAAAGGAGCTGGTGGATGCCATTTCCTTCCCCCACCCTCCAGCATAAACACATGGACACCTGTGAACCAGCACTTCTCCAATACTACCTAACTTGCTAACAGCATGCCCTGCCTTTGTGTTCTCCTGTGGACATGCTGGCTCCAGCCAGGCCTCACTCCAGGTCTCCTCTCACAACAGACCTTACTAATACCACCCACCCTGCCCCCAAGTGCTTCTTGGGATCCACCCCCTCCAATCCAGCCAACCTCGGTTCTGGTGGCTACAGGTCCCCTTTCACAACAGACCTAAACAAACCTTGCTAACACTGTGTGCCCCCCCCCCCCCTCCCTGCATTCTCCTGTGTACCTGCCCCCTCCAGTATGCCCTTGGCCAAAGCCCATCCAAAGTGGTGCCACAAGCCTGGCAGTGTGCAAGCAGCCCTGATAGGCCAGCACCACTCCAAAGTGACTCCTGTCCTGGGGAGAGTGGAAGATAACCACACACACCAATCTGACTGCAGCCCCAGCAGTGGGCTGGCAGCAGATGTCTGGTCTGACTGCAGATCCTGCCCACCTGTGAAAGCCTCTCAGAAGACAACACAAGGAAAGTGCCCTACAGTTTGGTGTTACTGCATCTCTGGCAAACTCCTGGTCTAACTCAACTCAAGCTGAAAGTGGCCCTATACTGGCCCACTAACAACACACAGCCCAAACTCTGCCCACAACAGGCAAAGAGAGCCATCGCAAACAACTGGACTGAAGGCAAAAGCGGCTAAGCCATAACAGCAGGACACATGCATCACACATAGGAGATAACCCTGAAGCGCCAGGTGAACCGGGGACACTGTATGGCAGGACACTACGGGACCTCTTCTTCATAAGGCCATTACTGTCAAGTACATGAGACATAGCTGTCTTTCTTAACACAGAGAAACAGGTGCAGAGAGTTAGACAAAATGAGGAGACAGAGGAATAGATCCCAAATGAAAGGACAGGACAAAATCACAGCAAGAGAGCTAACAAATGGAGATAAGTAATATGCTTGTAGAGAATTTGAAGTAATGGTCATAAAGATACTCACTGGACTTGAGAAAAGAGTGACACTCTTAACAGAGAAAACAAAAAAGAGGGTCACCTGGGTGGCTCAGTTGGTTGAGCAACCAGCTCTTGGTTTTGATTCAGGTTGTGATCTCAGGGTTGTGGGATCAAGCCCTGTGTCGGGCTGTGTGCTCAGCTGAGAATCTGCTTGGGATTCTCTCTCTCCTTCTCCCTCTGCCCTTCCCCCGTTCTCTCTCTCTCTTTCAATAAATAAAATCTTTGGGGAAAAAAAAAGGAAAACAAAAACAAACCAATCAGAGATGAAGTACTCAATAACTCAAATTAAACCTACACTAGATGGAATAAATAGTAGACTGGAAGAAGAAGAATAATGGATCAGTGACTGGAGGACAGAGTAATGGAAAGCAATCAAGCTGAACAGGAGCAAAGAAAGAAATAATAAAAAAATAAAACCAGGGAATTCAGTGACACCATCAAGCATAAAAACATTCACATTATAGGGATCCCAGAAGAAGAGAGAGAAAGAGGGGCAAAAAATTTATTTGAAGAAATAATAGCTGAAAACTTCCTGAATCAGGAGAAGGAAACAGAAATCCAGATCCAGGAGGCACAGAGAGCCCTCAACAAAAATCAACCCAAGGAGGTCCACACCAAGACATATAGTAATTAAAATGGCAAAAAGTAGTGATAAAGAGAATTTTAAAAGCAGCAAGAGAAAATAATTACTTATAAGGGAAATCCCATAAGGCTGTAGCTAATTTTTTAGCAAAAACTTTGCAGGCCCAAGGGAGTGGCATGGTACATTCAAAGTGCTGAAGGAAAAAAACCTGCAGCCAAGAATACTCTATCCAGCAAGGCTGTCATTCAAAATAGAAGAAGAGATAATTTCCCAGACAAACAAAAGTTAAAGGAATTCATGA